ACATTGTCAAACTAAGATGCAACAATGCCCAGAATTTTAAAAAAATCCATCTATAAAATTCATCTGTAATTAACATAAGCTATTTCCTACAAGCAACTCTGTAGGTATGCTTTTTCTCTTTAGTTCAAATTCTTACTGGTACAGTAAGAGCTCTGTGCTTGGATTGTGTACTAGGCAGAATTATGGGAAACTTTATAAACTCCCTGCTACACTGCTTGGTTAGCTAAATTCAAGATTAGTAAATGGTCCTTGGAAAATAAGCAGAGTAGCCCCCTTGTTACTGCATTTGAAGGCTATGTATATAGCCTTATATTGTTCTGTAGTCAGTCGTAAGAAGCCTGAGTCAAAAAAAAAAAAAAAAAAAAAATTGCGTGTAAAACTGCAACTAAGTGAAATTTTTGCACTGGGGTGAGAAAGTAGCAACTTGGAACAATTTGTTATTCTTACCTGTACTCCTTGTCATCTGCAGTGTCCATTACTCAGTACTCCCCAGAATTGGACCCACCATGGGGTAACAAGTTCTGTTGCTCTGTTTTCTGGGAGAGAAGGTTATACAGATCTGCTTTGTTCTGAAGGTTAACACTTACCTACTTGGATTTGCTTAAACCCAAGCAAATCATATCTTGAAAATTAAAATAAATTGTTGAAAAGGTGTTGCTTATGGCATTTTCTACCATTTTAAAGGAAGCAAATGTTGCTGGAAAGGAATTAAAATAAGAAGCTGGACAAAGATGGTTACATAAAATTATTCATGCACATTTTATAACTTATAATTGTCACACCATATCAGAAATCTTTCTCTGATCAGAGAGAGTGGTGAGTCAGCCTTTCTTTAAGTCTGGGAAAAACTGCTTTTTCCCAAATTAATAGCTCATATATGTGAAACATATAAGCTACATCTGCGACATGAACCTTCTGGAACAGTGGGAAACTTCAATGGTGTTTAAGCACCTAACTGAAAATTTTCAGTCTTAGAAACCCTTGGTCAGAGGATGCCTTGCTCTTCAGGGTCAAGACTCTACTGGGGTTGGTTTTCAACAGGGTTTCTAATATTCCTCGTTGCCTGAAGCTCTTGTACCTAGAAATACTTCTTTGTAGGAAAAAAATTAGTTAGATTTCCCTTTCTACTGGGTTAAGGAAGCAGCTTCGGTTTCCAGGTGCTTTTCTTGTTACAGATTATCTCCAGATCACCCGAAATGGGCCAAAGATGAAGCTCAGCTAATATTCTTCCAAATATTGGCATCCAGTTTGTTCTAGAACAGCATGAATGAGACCGATATGGAGAAATAATTTCCTGAAACTGATCTATCTAGTGTTGGTTGTTAAAAAACAGATTGCTTACTGTGGTAGCAGTGAAGGCTGGAGGTAAGGATGTAGTTCCTGCATGCTCATCACCTGCCTTCTTGAGGGACACATGGATTTCTGCTCATTCCCATCATCTTGGAAAATGGTCAGGTCTTCTGGGAGACATTTCTGGTTTTGCAAGGACTCAGAGTAGTTCTGCAGTACAGATGAACTTCTCGATGTCTAAAGGTCCTACATAACTGTGGTGATGGGAGCCAGCCTTGAGAGGCAACAAGCAGACACTTAGTGTAAGTGACGTAGCAACTTATTTTTTTTGGTTCAGCTTTCCAATCAAAAACCTTGGAAGCACCATGCCCATTACTAGTTAGTCATGGCAACAGCTCTGCTACGTGGAAAAGTCATCTTATCAACACTATAAGGAAGGGAAACCAAGGCACAGGAACATAAAGTAACTTAGCTAAGATAGTATGGCAAGGGGCTGTGGGTGTAGGAAGAGTGCCTGGGTTTGAAACTTGTATCTGAAGGACAAGTCCATTTTTCTCTCTCTGAAAGGGAGAATACTACGATAGCCCGTAAAAGGTTTATGGTTAGGATGGAATATATCTTTGCAAAATTCCCTCTCTAAGTACGTTTGCTGCTTAGGCGGTGCACAACGTCTAACATGGTACACAGGTCTGCCTCTCCTCACAGAGGGGAGAATACACGTGGGCACCCATCTGAAAAGTGGCTGTGTTGAATCCTTCTGCTTACAAGCAAGCCAGTGTATTTTATGTTGCTGTGCTTAGGTGTGTGCAGCACCAGGTCAGACAGGGAAAATGGTGCAGAGCGGCAGCCTCACATGTTCCAGCAGTGCATGAGCTTTAGAAAGTAATAGAAACACGAAACTGCACTTGTAGAGAGACTTTTCACCTTGGTTTTAACCAAAGCATCAGGAAGCTCATTCTTCTGGCCCTCTAAAGGGTGTTGTTGCCTGTTGCACACCATTGCCCGCTCCTCAGTGCGGGTCCTGAAGGTGCTGCAGAGGTTTTGCATTCCACCTTCGAGTGAGCTGGACTTATGAACTGGAACTAAGATCAGAACTGGCAGCTAGGCTCATGCCAAATTGAAGTTTTATTTATTTGATCATTTCATTGCAAGGTAGACACTGTGTCTGTGGTTTATATCTTTAAAATCAAATAAACTATTTATATATGGTGAAGAACTGTAAAACACATAGACCTTATTCACTAATATTTTATGGTTTCTTTACACTTGACAAGTAAAGAATTTGTGAAAGTGTTTTTTGTACCCAAATCCCACAGATTTCTTGGGGTATTTTTTAAATTAAGAAAAGGTACGATCTAGGTTAGTAACACAAACTTAGCTCCTGTTTTTCCCTAGCATGCAGCATGAACCCTTCTGAGTGAATTTTTAATACATATTTTAATGGAATACATTTGATGAAAACTTAAGAAAATACCATCAACTTTTATCCATTTAACATTTTCATGTTATTAAATGAGGATACCTCATGTGAATTTCAGGTCAGTGTGGAAATATAAATTAGCTACTGTTTTCCTTCCCCTCCTGATAATATTGTTTTGTTTACATCACCATGGAAAGCTTTATGCAAATTTTCTTGCCACACCATATCCATTATACCTTAAAGAGAAACAGTCTAATAAAAATTCTCAAAACAGCTATTACTTGTAGGAAAGGAAACTCAAAGGTCTGCAGTCTTTCAAAGTGTCATTGCTACTAACTTGAGCTTCACAGAGGAAGAAATCAGAACTGCTCTTTCATAGAGACAAATTACTGTGAGCTCCAGATGAAGCCAGCAAAGCCACGGAGAGGCTGCAGTTTGCAAGCCAGGTCTTGACTGGTATTTTGGTTGTGTGGACAAGGAGCTCCTGGATGTTTTTGCCATTCCTGTTGACAGCTTGTCAGGTTACTTCTGCACACACCTTTACAGCTGCAACTCCTGCTGCACATGTTGCAGGACATGTGGAAGGTCATTAGTGGTTTCAGCCTGCATTACTGTCATCCTAAAGTACAATCTTGCCATGCACTTTGCACTATGAGGGCTAGAAAACCAGTATCTTTCGTAGTAATGACTTCCAGTTTACAGCCTTCATTTGTTATATTTCCTCAATAGCTGTTGTGTTGAGATTAACTGCATAAATGGTCTGCAGCTGGCTGTTATGAATTAAGGGAGTTTAATCAAAGTATTTCTAATGTACAGCATAATGATAATACATGGGGGAAGTACTATTTAAGAGATAATGATGGCTTCAGAAGATCACTGTTGTAATGTTTAGTGCATATGCCTTCAGCATTGAATTTGTTGTTGTTCTGAATATGCTTAATGGATCAGTGAAAAGCTGCCTAATGTGGGATTGTTTGATGGGGCTGACAGAGCTGGAATTAGCCCATTGCTGTTTACTGCATACAGCCATTAAGATTAATTGCTGCCAGATAATTTTGACTGTTTTTATCTTCGGGAAAAAGTGTCACTAATGGGTTTATAAATTGGTTCACTATTACTAATAGTAAGGCCAGTGTAACAGGAGAGGATGTCAGCAGCTAATTCTAAAGATAAAGGTAAAAAGTATAAAGTACTATATGACTTGCTAGTTTTAAGGGATAATGTTATCTAATAACAGACAGACTGATATATGATGCTCATTAATGCTATTTCCCGGGCTTTGGGTTGAACCTAATAGATGCTAATAAAGTCTTATTTGATGTACCATTAAAAAGCTCAATCTGTTTTCTGCATTAATGCACAATGTTGTTTATCACATTTTCAGTGACTAAAACCCAAACCCTCAATCTGTTACGTAACTAAACAGCATCAGGCTAGTTATACCTATTTTTGTCTTTGTTTAGAGACACAGAAAAATTTATAGAGCAACCACTTTTCTGTATATACTGTATGCAATTCACATCCCTCAGCTTCCTGTCAACGATGACAATTCTTCAGATTTCATTTCAACGTATCTTCTTTCACATCTATCGTCACTGGTAAATTCTGCAAAGTGCTCCTTCCAAGAGATATATTAATTGGTTTGCAAACATTAGAAAATAGTGGTGCGATGTGGGTAAAAGCTTATCCAAGGAGGACGAATACACATTAGAGGTTAATAGTCTGGTACAGCACATATACATGCATGTGCAGTGCCTCTAATTTGCTGTGTATTAAAATGAAAGTTCTTTGTGCACTGAGTCTCAAATATATCCCTTGTATCTAAGGGCATTGACAAGGGAGTGGGAAGAACACGCACTAAGTAGATAGAAACACGACAAGGAATGCTTAATGAAGAGGGGAAAGCCAATAACTCATGAGTAGTGAAGTTGTTCTCTTCTCAAGTAGAGATAGTGTAAATTATGAAGTGATTCCTTTCTCAAGTCGAAAGAGCATTTATATTTTTCATGACTAATTTTTATATTGTGCTGAGAACATCTTCAATTTTTTGAGGGGCCCTGGATAGTAAAACAGTTCTTGTCAAAACAAAAAAAAAAAAAAAAAAAAAAAGCAATCACACAAAAAACAAAAAATTTTCTTCTGAATGTCTTCTCTGAAAAGAGAGAGGAAGAATTCTAAAAATAAACTATTGTCAAAAATTCATTACTTCAAAAAAAAAAAAAAAAAAAAAAAAAAAAGCAATCTCAAACAATACCAGAAAAAGCTCTTTACGTTATTTTTTCCCTTTCAGAATGCTAGCATGTGAAGACCTTTGAGAAGTGAAGAGGAAAAAAATAGAGGGTGGTAAGATCTGTTCTGCCATATTTGTTTTTTTCACCATAGTATTCCAGGTGGCATTCTGGTTTTTTGCCATTAAGGACATGGATACTTTATTCTGGTTTAGACCCTTTACCCACTTTCAACTTCCATCCTTTGATCATATTTATACCATCTGCCTACATATCTAGTAATGCATATCAATATGTGGGGACCTTATATTGTGTAGGGAAGTGGCTACAATCTAAATATTCTTCCCTTTATTTATATATCTGAACATTGCACAATGCTGCCTGGAGACATCCATTCAGCTTTTTTCATTAGGTCCAGATTCTGATTTCTTTGCCTCATATCCCCCACCACTGGCTGCATTATATACATCTGATCAATCATTTTCCAATTAAACTTTTGTCTATACACAGATCTAGCATTGTTTTGACTTAAATCGATTTAAAATCGGTTTCATTAATTCAGTACAAACTCTATGTATACACATTAATATTTGGTTACAAGCAGTTTATTTTGGTTTACTTTTAACTCAGTATAAGTTAAACCAAGCTCTGTCAGGCTTATATTGATTTAAAAGAGCTGACACAACCTATTTCACTGTTTTAACTACATTGATTTTAAATCTCATTCTTAGTTAAACCAAAGCAATTTGCACATAGACAATCCCAAGTTTTGCTCCCAAAAAGTGTTGCCAATGTTTCCATGCACGGCCCTGTGTAGATGCCCATTAGCCTCTCCTTTCTATTGTTAATGATTCTAAATAACGTCTTGAGGCAAGCCTTGATTAGGTTGTTAACCAAGCTGTCTGTGGCAGGCAATTTAGGATGATAGCTTACACGAAAATTATTCCAGAATAAGGTATAGTGTTGTGGGTTGTTTTAATGCAGAGTAACTGTATTGGAACAGTTCCAGGTAGAGACACTCTGAAGGAGATTTGGATGTTCTTGTGCCAGTTTGGACAGAACAGGGCATCCCTCCCCTGCTCCAAGAGGGAATGGATACCCTGTGTTAGATGAGCCAGCCCAGGCATCTTGGGCACCCTACAGCATCTCAAAGGGCACAAAACATCTGTGTTTACTCACCTGAATCCCTTCCTCTCATTCTGAAGTAAGAACGATTTTTTGACTTTAAGTAATCTGCTTCCAAAATAAATGGTTGTGTGTATTTTTACCCTAGAAGGGAGGTAAAGGAAAGAAAAAAGAAAGAGGAGAGGAGAGGAGAGGAGAGGAGGCAGATTTGAAAAACAGACACATCACACAATGGGATCCTATTTCACTAAACAGATTCTTTTCAGTCCTTTTCCTTGCAGGTGCACCTGTTTTGGGTCATGCCATGCATGCAATGGCTTGCTTCCTAAGCTGCTATTTGGTACAAAGCTGCCCTGATTATGGATTTGCAGAAACAGCATGTTAATCCTGAACTTTCTTTTCCAAATCAAGCACAGATTTTGGACTGCTTAACCTAAAACCAGCAGTCACTGGAGATACTGAGGTGTTTCTAAAATAACAATCTGTTGTCTAAAACAAAATGAAGTTTTGCAGAATGCAAAGGCTGTTCTTCAATGCAGTAAAGACAATCTAATATAAAATGGATTTCACCAAGTTTACACAGCAAAAATTGGGCAATTAAGAGGAATATATATTTACATTGCAGTGCAGTATAAATGCAACTTGATCAGCTTTTTCTCAAAAACTTGACCAGTGTTTCAGGAAGGAGGTCTTTCACAATTTATGTTCATTCTCAAAAATTGCAATGAAGAACTGAGCTTCCTGTAGTTTCTCAGCTTCCAGTTGCTTGTGGCTGTAAGTAAGGGGTATCTGTGTTGCTGGAGCAGACCAGGGCTCCACCTTGTAGTCCTGGAGGATTGCTCAGACTTAGACTAGCCCAGGTCAGCTACCCAAAAACCCTACATGAAGGTACCAAAAATTTACTCTAAGCACTATTCTTTTCCTCTGTATATGCTCTGTGATGTATGAAGTGAGGGCAACGGGCGCTTTCCAAAATTTACCTTTCTCCTAACACTCTGTAATTCCACATACTTGCCTAGAGTAAGCCCATTCCTATTGGCTACTGGAGCAAGAAGCAGTAGGCTTGCTGAGCATAGCCATATCCACACCGGTGTTGGGACACAGTTTGTTTTCATGGTCCTTTGCCACCACAAATCCCACATCAGTGACTCTTACAAAATGAATGTAACTGAGAACAGGACTCAACGTCAGATTTGCATTATGCTCCAGAAAGCAGGACTCAGTCGACACTGAGAAATGCCTTAGTCAGGAAACCAGGCTCTCTCAGTAAACGTTTCAAAGCAGAAACTTCAGTAAGGTGCTTTACAGGTCTGTCTTTCCCTTTCCGTTGATTAGTCAGGAAGCTTTAGGAGACCAACCTTCTACCTCAGACACCTCATTTAAGTATTTAAATTTAGACACTGAGAAAGCCTTATAATTTTCTTTTTTTCAAGAAGATTTTTGGATTTGGTTGTCTAAGGATGAAATTCGCCCTCTGCAACAGTACAATTCAGAACAGAACCTTTCCAGTTCTTTGCAAACTCTGATTCAAAGACCTCATTCCAAAACAGAGCAAACCCCTTATAAAGCCCCATGAAGTTTAGCCATCCGGCAAGATCACTGTCTTGGAAAAAATCTGGACCTAGAGGGGTGCATAGTCTTTAGGCTGACCCACTGGCCAGGCATGAATTCTGTCACACAATCCTGTGTCTCACTTCAGCCTCGTCAAGAACTGTGATCCTGAAAAGAAAATCCTGTGGGAAATTTGTACTTTAGTTGAGGGGAAAAAAAATCAAGTCAGGCTTCCAAAAATTATAAAGTGTTACATTAATTGCTTCTTTTCACTTGTCACCTTCTTGATTTGAGCTTTTACAGTTCATATTTTTGAACTTTCCTCTGCAGTCCAGACCATTAGGAATGTCTTTTTTTTTTTTTTTCCTTAATAAAAACAGTGATTATCAGGTAATAACAGGATTTTTGAAGCTAAGGCATTAAAAATACTGATTGTTGCAAAATGCATGATTAAATCACAAGTCTTAGCAACATCATAAAGTGTCTTTCTTTTGAAGACTACTTTTCATATATTTGTTCGAAGCAATTTCTCATATGAAACTGTGTTTTTTTACATATACACACACTTCTGCAGGTTAGGAAGAAAAGTGGGGATGAAGCCAGGCCATGGATAAGTGCTGGGAAAGTGTGAAGTGATATATCATGCAGCCATTTTATTTATCAATGTCAAAAATTCTTTGTCTGATTCATGAAATGTTATTTTATCACCAAACAAGGATATGTGGGGTGCTTTTTACAATTGAAGTATGAATATAATAGATTGCAAATCTTCCTCTCCTTAAATTCACACTTGAAAATGACGTGCTGAAATTTTCAAAATGACCTAATTAAGAATATTAGGAACAAATGTAGATACTTCATACAGCAAATGAAATAGGTTGGATTTATTTTTTTTTAAACTCAAGTCATGGAAATGTTATCCTGAAATTAAACTATTTAACATGGAAGATTCTCTGAGCTTCAGACAGTTTCAGGCCAATTCTTCCCAGACTGCAGCTATTACCTCAAAAAATTACATAACTTGCCTTTTTTCTGCAAATCGCTGAAGCCCGACTGGTGCTCCATTATTAACATCAGAGCTGTCAGCATCTCAGGGAGGCAAGAGAAGAAAGCAAAGCATTCCTACCAGCAGCAACAAAACCATGCTTGCACTTAGAGAAATCTTCCTTCAATCCTCTTCATACCAAGCAGAGAACTACTTAAAGTACAGTACGCTGAAGGTTGGATTCATTTCACTTTCACTATCTATAAGTTAGAAGTCTCTGTTAGATGTCTATAAGTTAAAGTCAGCTTGACTCCCTCTTTAGACAATGAAGAGAGATAGGCACCTCCAGAGGGTGATTCATCCCATCCGAAGACAGGTATTGAAGAAAGATGGAAGGAATCGCCCTTTGGAGATGTCTATCTCTCTCCAGTGACTACACAGGGAGTCTGTGGTGAGTGGCTTAAACTTGACAGTTAAAGTTATGTGAGATGAAATCTAATCCTAACCATAAATAACACAGGAGGAGCTTTACTCTGGTACTGAAGAGAAGGTTATTAGGGATGGTTGTTGGAAGCATTCTGCATTAAAAATGCACGAATTGCATGGTGCTTATTAACAAGCATGAATTAACTTGACTGTGCATATAACTACACCAATATGTCATGGGTGTCAGAGCCTCCGTAAAAAGTAAGGCAGCCAAGTTTAGTAAGGGACCATGGTTCCAAAAGAGTGTCACACTCAGCTGGGACCCTGAGCAGCTTCTGAATGCTCCTGTTTCTCTCAGTGCTACCTGTTTAGCAAGTGTCTTACAGTAATGAAGACCCTTGGCATCTTTTTTACCATCTAAGTGCTGTTTGCCTCTCTTCCAGTTGAGATCCTAACAGCAAGACAGGTTAGTCAACTTGTATTTCACAGGAAGTAGAAACTGTATTATAATAATACTAAAAGAGTCAGAATGTATTGCTTTCACATGATTTGCATTAACTTTCCAGCTCATCAAACTATTATTCCTTTTAGTTTAGAATCTGAAGACAGGCAAAAAATATCTTCCCCTAGAAACCATAAGCAGTAGTCTGTGTGGCACCAAATTATTGGCTTTCACATCGATTCAGACTAATCCTGTCTAGAGCAGGTGTGGGCCTGTGAAGTAATAGCTCTTGACCCTGACTCTCCTCTAGGCTCCATACAATGTCTTCGTGACCCTAAAGTTTCTCTTTATTTCAGTTCAAAGAGTTTGACGTCAGAGAGGGTTCTGCTGGAGCCAACCAGGCTGGTGGATGTTATTCCATGAAAGTGACCACACACGTGGCATGCTATAGGGTTTGGCGTGATGGGGTTGTTTGAGGGTGCAGAGACCGCTGAAAACATGGCTGAAAACAAGAATTTCACTGAATTTCACTGAATTTCTAGAGTTGGAAGGGACCATAGAGATCATGTAAGTAGTGAG